AAGCGAGGCTGTGTGGTCTGTAGAAGAACTCAATAGCCATTGTGCTGCGGGTAATCTGCTGCTGAAAAAGAAGCATGGCTAAGCAGCGATCGGCTTCTGAAGGAGCGTATAACGGGTTCTGCAGTCCGGTGAACAACTTAAGTGTCACTTGCAATAATATTCGAAAATGTACAGTCGTACAATATTCTGCTCAGAAATGATGATGTCCTTTGAATCAATCGCAATCACTTTAAGCATGATTTTCAAGTTCATCGGTTGCGTTAGCTTGTATAACTGGGGCTTTGAAGAAATTTACAATTGCAAAGAAATTGTAAGATATGTAAGCTTGAATAAGAAAAATGGGAAAAATATGCTACTACTTGACAGGGTACTTTCAATCTACTGAAGGGAAAATTTGAATCTTGTCTTTTGCAAAGGCACGAACGCCAGAAGCAGCTAGTGGCTGGTCGAACCGTTATATCCTGGGAGCGCAGCAAGTTTGACTGCGGCGCCGACAATCGTGTTTAGGGTGGCAGATAAAGCTTAACGTTAAACGCATCTTAGCGCCCAAGTGACTGTGTGGTCAGCAATTCCTTACTCGCGCATCGTTTGTTACGAAGTTAAGATCATCTCTTAATTGCTGCAGTCTGCTTCCGAGGGCCTCGATCCCACGGTCTGCCATTTAAATTTCCGCAAATTCTTTGAATACCCAGACTTTAACTGCACTCAAATACAATTTTATGTCTTTCTCTATTAGTTTAATTAATTTAAATTGCACCGAATTTTGAAATAAAATACGTGAAATTGCAAATTTGAGTCATTATAACAATTAAATATATAAATTAAATGATAAAAATAAAAATACTGCTGAATTCGACCAGTTCAAAATAATTTCAGAATACCTGCTCAGGTAGACTAACACATACAGAGATTTGTGAGTGTAGAAGTGGCCGAAAAGTGAACCCTTTAAACTTCCGCTCACGAGTTTAAAGTTCCGTCCACAAAGGAGCTGTACCTTTAAACGCGTTTTTAGCAAGAAAAGGCCTGATTCTCAATAGATGATACACAATGTCGACTTTTAGGTCTTTTTTCTCGTGTGACTGGAGCATTTCTATCGCGTGTAAAGCAAAGCATAAAGAGTTGCTCGTTTGCGATTGAAGAGCACGTCTTGTAAGGGTTGAGATATGGCGCTGTCATAAAGAGCGTCCCAGCGCGAGCTGCATGGCAGTTACGCTGGTGCATGTCTCTGCTCTGTAGTCACAGTAACTCACGATGCTTATTTTTTAGGAAGTTTCTGCTTGAGTTGAGAACAATAAGAAGTGGGTCTCATACTGCAGTATATTCGACCATGATTCCTGTACCTCATCATGTCACTTCTTGTCTGTTAAGGAGCAATGAGGTAAACGTGTACGCTTACGCAAATATCGCCAAGTATAAAATCTTGGAGAAGCTTTGGTTCCTTATAACGCCACATATATAGAATTGCCCATTCTGAATACGATCAATTTTTACTATACTCCACGGAGTATATTATAAGCGTTGACACATCAGATGCGAAATGACGCTACACTGAAGTAGGACAACAAGTTTTTAATTTAATCCTCCTAAAAGTTTCTTTTTCATTGTAAAATTTCGATGAAAACAAATAGTTGAAGTAAAAATGTGCCCTTTTCGGGTTAAACTATGTAATCCACGGAATTTGAAATATTCTTTCGACGAGAGCACAAAGATTTTTTAAGAACGATTCTCAATTGTAAACATAGAAAGGAAGCAAATTAATTGGAATTGTATAAATATTTTCCTCTATTTGAATAATTGTAGCTATGATATTGGTCTTGGAGAAACCACCAAATTCTTCGAACTGCTGTCAAATTTCAAACATTGAACAATTGAGCATTGGAACAATTTATATGATAAACATTTATTATCGAGTGGATGTGATGAACAATTAAGGAGTCACATATCTATATTTTAAAAACATATTTCATTATTAAATTAAGTAGCCTGTCCTAATCTGTGTTTGTACATAGGTAAGGATGCGGTATTCTAGAAAGCTTTTGTATGATAAGTAATAATTAATAAGTCAATGAACGATAGCTTGAATCTATTTGCCCAACAGGGTTTTACACAACAAAAAAATGGGCAAAAATTCCCGAGAAGAACATTTTCACATGGTGAAAATGAAATTGTCAACAATATCCCAGACAAATATTTTTAGCAGTAAAAAATGGTGGGTAATTATTTATTTTTATTTTAAAATAAAAATATTATTTATTATAATATTTTTATATAAATTATTTATTTTGCTGGCGAGAACGTTTTATTTTGCTGGTGAGAGCGAGTCACGTGCATGGTGGTGCAGGCGACGAGTAAGTGCAGACTGACGCATACGGAAGTGCCATAATTAGTCTCATAGACAAGAGACGCAAGCTCCCGTGTGGCCCGCACTGCATGTAGACGTTGTACAAGCTGGTGCTCCTTGATATCTTAACTTCATCAGCTGGTAGTATCAATTTATTTAATACATTTTAGGTTAACTTAGGTACTCTTAACAATTATTCAATAATACATTATGTTGTCAATCAAAGGAAGGAATTCTCACTCAGAGAAGTTGGTTGAAGTACAGCTATACTTTGCTTTTTATTAATAACATTGCGCGATCAGTTACCATAGGTTAGTCGGTTAATATAAACAATATAACATTTTACATAAAAAGGCAAAACTCCATCGTTCATCTAACTTAAATAGAAAATAAGAATAGAAAGCAATCGGAAGTGCGGATGCTAATTTATCCAGTGGAGGGTGCGAACGCGACGTTGCGCCGGAGACACGTTCCTGCTTCGCTTGCTGGTCTACAGAGCAAGGATGTGGTTATCGTTCGCAGTCATTCAAAAGAACAAGAATATGCACATTATTTTTAGTAGCTTCTGAGAGAATTACTTACGCTGATTACACAAAAGAATGTCACGACACTAGAAACCAGGCGCGTGACTTCCAAGCACGGAAAGCGGTCGTATGTCCGGTAATTTATCATGCCCAATTCAAAGCTTAGAAATGTTTCCTGGTTTGACATTTATAAGAGAAACAGCATCATAAGCCAGGCGATTACAAAATAAAAAGGTATCTTTCGACGAGAAATTAAAAAGTCGCTGCAAATTAAAAACAGCAATTATAATGCTCACCGCGCACTTATATATAATTGCTGTATACATCTCTTAAGCATTAGCTAGTGGTTTCACGATGTTAATTGCCATTAATTGTCAAGCATTTATTGGCGACCCGTATTATTTCAAGCATTGTAATACAGTTAATAAGAAAATCATACCGGGAATTCATTTGACGTTGTGAGGGTTAGAGCCTATATACGTATGTTGAAAGATCGATACCGTATATATATAATCCCGAAAATATCCACATAATTTTGCCGCATAAAGCAGGCAGGTCGATAAGCTCACTACATGCTCCTGGCTACACACACATTACGTTTCACACTATAGTTAAGAGATACGAATTAAAATGCAACCGTTGGGTAAGGAGCCTCTAATAAAAATCGTAACTTTAAATCACACATGCACGAGCGAATCGTTTCATGTGTTTTCTCTGGTATATAGGAAACTTTATAATCAATTAAAGTCGCGTACTTAAGTACTTAAGGGATTTAGAATTCCAGGCCTAACAGGCTTCTGGTATTAATTTACGTCGAATTCCGATTGTATTCAGAATTATCGAAACACTCACTATCTTAAGTAAAATTTAATTGCGGCTATATTTACGATGACGAATGCTGATGAATGAGATATATTCTGGAAGACAGATATATCGATCACAATGGTACCTTTTTAACACGGAATTTAATAAACCAATTTTTGAATTAGTAATAAAACCAATAAAAAAACTGGGGGTAGCAAAGAAATTCAATGCGAATCAAGCTCACCGGGACACATGAAACAGTTGGACACGTTTAGCAGGAAACAAAAGGCCTGATTTTATCAGCAACTAATTAACGAGAACCTAAGATACAGAAGTACTGAAAAACAATTCTGAGTAGGTGCATAACCCTTTTTATAACGCATTTTAATAAATATATTATTCAAAATTAACTTTAACCAGTATTCGTTGAGGAATGACATTGCTTTCATAAATAAACCAAACTCTTTGAAAAGATTTTGATGCAAATGCGGCAGGTATGAGAAAGAAAGAGACCATGCATGCATGCACTCTCTCGATCGATTAGTTGAGATTATACCATACTTGGTGCGGAAGATAACTTTATTCTTTCGAAAGCTTTTGCAACGAAAATAAGGAACTATAATGCGCGTGGACGCTCTTCATCCTCAAATAATAACCTCAAAATGCAAAATAAGCCGAATTCTAATACAAAATAAAGTGGCATGGTTTAAATCCATATTGAAACACGGGCTTGGATGAATGTGGCGAATGCAAACAAGGAAGAATGCATGGAAGACGATTAAAAAAAAATAAAAAAAAAAAAAAATTAACGTAAACGATAACGGAGGGAAGGTGAGGTCTATACAGCGACGTAACAGTTTTAATATTGATTTATAATCCAATTTATGGAATGAAAGCGTTGCTACATATTCCTTATTTTCAGTTTTACTACAACCTGATGCTAAAAAATCTTGAGTTCATTCTACTAATTTATTAAGTTATGCCAATTTCTTATATACTAAATAATATGACCCGTTATCTTTGTTTGCCTGCTCGAGTGAAACAAATAATTATTCGAAGAAAAGAATTCAAATGGTCAAAACTCTGGAAACAAATTGAATTGGTTTCAAGAATGTGGTTCATAGCAATATTATCAGAGCATGGAAAGCTCGGCATAAACTAGTTGAGTTTCTGCAATAGGTTTATCTTTTGAGAGGAACTAATTCTGCAGGGTCAGTACAAAAGACTCCGCCCATTTTTTGTGGAGGCTGTTGTGTGGTGGTACCGCCTCTCCGACATAGGCCTACCTACGAGTCTTGAGATCGCTGGATCTCATGAAGAGTTCAGTCGTGTACGCGCTACACCCACGCATACAGCCTCTTGAGCTACTTGGCCCACGGTGCCGCTAAGTTCCAGTGACGAGCGTGCTGCATCTGTTTCAAGGTCGTCCCTCAAACGAGCTTACGTACAGATCGCCTTCCTAATACCCAATTTTTTAGTACGCGAGAAAAAAAACTATAAACAATGTCAGCATGTCTCTGTAATGAGATCAGTTTTGGTGGCTAATTACCGGCCAAACACTCCAGATCATCGGGACAACTTTTGTTTCCATGTTTAGTTGGTGACTTGTAAGAGAATTTTGTTAATGGAAACTCTCGACTAATCGAAAATCTTTGATTGATTCATTTTAGCGAGAGTAAAATAAGTGCACAAGAACTGGTGACATGTGAGGTCTTCAAATCCGCCTTCATGTTTTCGCCAAGAGTTCATCCACAGAAACAATTTTCTACCAAATGAAAGTGAGTTGAGTTTTCTAGCTTAAGGCACGCATGTTCAATGTCCATGCATTGAATTGTTTCAATTCAGTTTTTTATCGTGTTTTTAAATTGTACGGATTGCATTTTAAATTGCATGGTCCAAATATTCATATATTCATTTCATTATTCTTTTCGCATGCATTTGCTTTTAACATCTTTCACCGTTATTAACAGGAAATGTTTATGGAAACAGAATTTGAAGCAAGCTTACGCGCGGCACTGTCTCCTTGTTGCTACATTTAAATTGCCATAACTATTAATGTTTATCGACAATGGCAAAGGCGTAGCCTGGTTACATTTCATCTCTCACCCGCCCAACCGGCATAGCTTGAGTGCCTCGCGTGGTCAACATCAAGGGTTAAGGTGGCAGACTAATTAAAAATTACTTTGTTTTTCGCCTTAAGAGGTGCCGGAACAGCTTGAAAAAAGTCTTTTCTTGTTAGCGAAGGCGCGCTTAGGGCTTAAAACACTTGAGGTTTTTTGAACAAGTCGTCCGAATTTCGAGAGCTATTTGGATTATGTTTTCTCTGGTAACGCTGAGATGTCAACAGCCAGCGGTTTGTCATTAGGATTAGGATTGGCATGAAGAAGAGCTGTAAATACGTGTTTTTATAGAACGAAAGTGATTGGAAATTTTTAAGCACGTCTGGTTAAAGAGTAGTGGGCTGAGGATCCACAGTTTTAGGCCGGTTAGTTAAAAAAATGTCAAGAGAACTGCATGCAGTCATACGGAAACAAACTGTTAATTCTGGGTCCAAATATCATTAGTTACCAAGGTATATATAAATATCGAAGCCCTGATGTGAATGTTTACATGGTAATGCGTTTCATTTACAATGATATCTAGGAATTGAAAGTTTAAAAATCGTCAAAATTAGAGGAAATCGGTAAAATACAAAATCAGTTATTAATTGTCAGTTATGACGGTTTTTATCAAAACATTAGATGCGCTATTTATCAGTGGCGAAATTTATCAGTAAGCCGGCAGCAAACACTGATTAACTGTGACGTGGACCGCACCACGTTATAAAGATCGTTTATCTTACGCAAAGCGTTTAATCAAGATTAAAAGGCAGTATAAACTACGGTTACACAATTCAATAAGTGCAGTATTATAAATATTGGATAAACAAAGTGCCCAATCGCCGTATATGAGTAAAATAAACCTTCGCTTCACGCAAAATTGAATTCAATTTTTCAGTATGATTCATGATTTCGAAAATGCAGGTACAGCTGTGACTATATTACTTCAAGACACTTCATGCCTTTTGTTCCATATCTTGGTGGCAATATTTTCAGTTTTAAACACTTAGAGGCCTATTAGGATTAGAAATAACTAGGACTATTATCAAACACGGCTTCAAGTAGCGGGAATAATTTTTATGAGACAATTAATATGAGTAAATAGTGATAGTCTAAACCACTTTCAATTCAGTCGCACTGATTTTAGTAATTTGAATGTTCGCAAATAATGTTGGCTCATTTTTTTAGCGTTAAAAATGGACGATCAATGAGCTGAAAATGGCGGTCCCGCGCAAATCGAGATCGTGTTGAAAGAAGATATATATATAACCTGCGCAATTTGTGCACGACGTTATTAGCTCTTGCCCTTGAAGGATAATCCGCTCATGTGAAGATATTTCGCTCAACTGAAACTTTCTTGTAGCAATATTATGTGCCATACGATAGCTGAATTCTCTTATTCTGATTCAATTAACACCAATATAAATTTTTAGTTACTGTTGATAAGAATATGTCGTGAATTAGGATAGTTAGTCCCTATTATCGTCACTTTAATGTTGCGAGATATTCAATTTATGTGCGCGTTATACCTTGAACGCAATGTAGAGATCTACGCCACGCATATCAATGTAACTTTAAAACACCGGTCTAGTCACCAATTTATTATCTGATTATTTACATTAACAAATGCCAATAGTTTCTCTACAAGCCGTTTGTTCACTTAAGATGAGGGAGGTCATCTCGCAGTTTGAGATGTCATTGATAGTTCTACACTTTAAAACTGACCGATGAAGTACTTCACACTTCGTATACTTTTCGATATTAATGCCAGCGTCTAATTATTGAAAATAAAATTTTGAGGATACAGATTCTTATTTGTCGGTGCTTCCTGCTTATTTTAAATAAGGAGAGAAAGAAGCTCTAAAATTTTGGTTCCGCTTGGTCAAATAATTTATCGAATTATGTAAAAATTGCTTAGAAAAATGATTAGCACATTCATGGTGGATATTTAATTACTTCCGTTCAGTAACTTTTAAAAGAGAAAAATAAGGTAAAACTTGGGCAGCTGAAGAAAGTAGGATATTTTGATGACTTCCGTTGCTGTGTTTTGAAGGGCAATCGTGGGGAGTTGAGGTGCAGGGAGAGGGGGGGGGAGCTAGGGAAAGAAATGGGGGTGCGTTCAGGGGTCTGAGCACGTGCTCATAAAACCTATGGGGAGAAGGCAGGGTGAGGGGCCGTATAGGGGATGTCAAAAAGTCCCTCCACAGAATATTTCTCGTATATATTATGCCTGTTCTATTTCCTGCCGTAAACATTAATTCGCAGTATGAAAATTTCACTGTTTTTTTTAGAGCATTCGGACGTTAACTGAATTTCCGAAATTCTTTCAGCCAAATCGCACAAGCTTTTGAATTGATGACGTTGGTTATTAACTTCATCAGTGATTCATCGTGAGCAATGTATTGCATCATAAATTGTTTAGAATTAGCATTAAAAATTATTGAATGAGCAATTACATAAGACGGGTCATAATAATAATTGTTTTATTGGTGGAATCCACACAGTTTAATACAAACTAATTAATTTATAACCGCTGAATTGTTCTTCAGTGATTTCATCGATGCCTGAAATTCGAATTCGTAATTCGAAGCCTATTCATGTATTGGTCTAATCAGCCAAAAATGTGTAAGTTTTAACATGTAATTTGTAACAAATAATTGCAGTGTTTCGCAGTCATAAGAGTAATAACGAAGCTCGAATTGAAACAAACTCGTCGTATTTTTATTTCAAGTGGAAAATGAGATCATCTAAATATGCCGAGCGAATGCATTGAATAAAATACGAGCCATTCATAATAAAAGTAGGACAGTAGCGTCACAGCAGCAGCGATCATCAACAAAGCTCCAGCCCAACCTCCAGCACGCGCACAGCAGCCGCCAAAAACCCAAAGTTCTCACAAAAATAGAAATGCATTGAGAAAAAGCCCTCGAGCGCGCGTGCTGCTTTCAGAGGCGAGCAGAAAACATGGAAATGAGCTAAAAAGGGTCGCTCCCCTACACTGTCGAGCGAATAAAGAAACACTCGCCCCTCCCTGTCTCTCGTCCTCGCCATGTGCCGCTCCTCTTCCATCTTTTCTGTGTCGCTTCAATATATCCAGCGTCCTGGGGGATCGCTGGGCCCCATCACGTTTTTTTTTTCCTGCGTTACGTCGGCGGGAGGAAGACTTACTGATCTTTTCTTGGGGTCAATCACCATTTTATTTTGCTGCTGTTCTCGGTCGTTCATTTTATAGAAGAATTTCATAGATGAAGAGTCGAAATTAAACGAATTTTTATCCGAGTACGAGTGTACGTCACTAAGAAGATGGAGAGAAAAATTTCGTAAAGCAATATTTTTGTCAAGCTGGATGTTTTTTTAGGAGAAATTATTTGTCAAGCAACAAATTGAAAGAATAAACCCGTGGAAGGATGCTGGAGTAATGCATCCTCTTTTCAGCATACGAAATGAATGTAAAGCAAAGAACGGAGTTGTGAAAGAAGCCTACCTTTGTGAGGATTATTCTTTTTTTCGAATTTCATTGAAAAGGTGTGTGTTGGTTGTGCGCCATTGGCCGTTTTGGCGCAGCCAAGTCAGATGCACAGGCCGGCGCCATACAAAGAAAATGCCATGGGTTTCTCACCCCCGCGAGCTGCTTTGTATGGCTCTGGAACGCAGCTTTGCATCTTTCAATGGACCGAGTTCTTATGGCTGCCTTTCAACGATCTGCAGCGAGACGTGAACTATTTCCTACCTCATTTTCATAGGCATTAACGGAACATGGCTCAGTACCTAACTCATGTGAGAGCTCGTGCTACGCTCCCCATATATGCACCCCGCTGCTGCTCAGGAGCGGCCTTTAAATTCTGCCAAACTGCTCAGATTGTGACGAGTTTAAAAATCCAGGGATGTCTGATAAATTTGTTTTCATCGTAATCTAAGTGCGACCTTCGTCTCGCAATACAACGGCGTAAAAATGGATCGTTGGGCTAATAATTTTCCGTGGATGTTTCGCAGGAAATACGATTTGCGCAAATTCCATACTTATATTCAGATAACCTTTCTTATCAACACCAATGTAAATTGTACTGCATTTCAGTCAACCGCATATAAGAATAAATACATCAGAATTGGCGAGATGATAAAAATATAAAAGTATAAATATCGTTAAAATTTTATTAATTTATTTGTAGTCTTTCGTATCCTTGCTTTAAATTTTTCACACATTATGAAATTTAAACAAGACATGGAACGACAGGATAACTTAACATAATGGTAAGCGACACTCCTCTCTGAGATTCGATCATCACTCTTAATTTGTTTGCTGTAATAAAACGGTCGCGTCAAGTCATTAAACTTGGTTGACCTCATGACGACTCATCATGACGATGCCACAGCATCACCGGCATGTTTATAGGCAGTTACATTTGCTGGAACTTAAAATCTACGTCATTTGTATCAATTTGTACGGTACTAAAATAATGAGATTTTATTACTTCTATTCCGATTTTAAATGATCTCATAACTTCTTGGTGGATTTTCAAGAGGAAGGCAATCAACAAGATTTATTATAGTCGAATTGGCACAGAAATCATCTAAATTATTGTCTCAGTTTTAACATCGTCTAATGTTCATGTCTATATTAAAAACTCGTGAAGGTGCATCCAACCTACAATTTTTTATTCCAGCATCGATCAAGAATT